CCAAAGAGTGATCTTTGACTCAGCTCAGCGCAGCCGGCAGGTAATAAATCCTGACTGTGTTGAGAGGCAGCCCCTGTGCTATGGCCCTGGGCCCCTGGGCCATAGCATGTGCTTGCCTCTGGGTAGAAGGCCCAGCTAGAAGGTCTCACTGGCCCCTTAAAACTCTGTCTGCCCCTGTCCTGAACTCACTTCTCCTTGAGGAGACTGGCTGCCCTGATGCCTTATAACAGTACTCTTAGCCTTTCACTTGAGGCAGAGATACAACCCCTTCCAGGCATTTCCAGCAGGGGACAAAGAGGCTGCCACTGGGCTGGGTCCCTGAACACTCTGTAGGACAGCTGGTGCAGACAGGACTGAGCTTTTCCCCCAGGGATGAGATGAGGGCACCCACAGTATTTGAGGTGCCTTTTGAGTATGATGTCTTTTGGCCCTCATGCTAACTAAAGGGGCTCAAAGGCATTCCTTACCTTACCCAGCACCACTCAGCAAATTGTGATGCTGGGATTTGAACCTAAGCCCTTGTGCTGCTCCCTACTGCACTGAGTAGCCATCGCCATAGCTGTTCACAGCCTAGCCTGGCCCAGGGATCTCCAAGAGAGGTAGGGGAGGGACCCATAGAACTCTTGGATGTGATGCCACATGTGGCCTCCCCTCTGCTTCAGGACCTGTTTGCTGTGGACACCCAGGTGGGCAGTGTGACCTCCCTCACAGCTGGTGAGCAGATCTTCGGGAATGGGGGTGAGGGCAGGACTAATGAGCAAGCCAGCCAGGTCAGGGGTGAGGCTGGAGCTCGAGCATCTGGGGCAGTGGTGGCAGCCCCTGTGATCAACCCCTAGGAGCCCTGGGGCATAGTGTGTGCATGCCTCTGGATACAAAGCCCAGCTCCAAGGTCTCACTCGCCCCTTAAGACCCTTCCTGCCCCTGTCCTGGACTCACTTCTCCTTGAGAATGGCTGCCCTGGTGCTCCACAACAGTATTCTTAGCCTGCCAATGCAAGACCCTTACTCAACCACAGACTAGCTGAGTGCCCTGCTCCCCTGCCCTTTAGCACTCAACTCTGTTCCATGTGTCCTGGCTCAGCCCTAGCATGGCCCCCACCCCTGCTCCTAAAACCCACAAAACTCTCTTCCCTCTCCCTAAACTTTGGGTGCTCTATCTCAGGCAGAGGCAGCTCTGCCACCTCAGGGCCCAGGAGAAGCCCAATGTTGGCTTCCCCATACTTAGGCCTGGCGATTCTGCCCTGAAGTGTCTTTTGAATCCTCTACTTGCCCTGACTATATCTGCTTTTCCACAAAGCTATCAAAGTATTGTTCCAAAGCCACACCACATTGTACAATTCCTGCTTAAGAATCTGCTTGGATCCTACTGCCAGAATCAGCACATTCCCCAGCCCCCACCCAACTCCCTGGGCCCAGCTGCCACCCCTGTACCCTGTAGGCATCAAGGGATAGGTGGAGGAGCCTTGGTGATCTGGTGTGTCCCCAAGTCTGACAGTTCCAGGGCTATCAGACAAGGGACTGAGTAGGAGGTCACCCAGGGCCATGTGCACTTGGGTGTTTGTGAAAGGTGTTTCTTAAGGTAGAAGGGGCACCTTTCCATAGAGCCTCCAGTCTTGGACTCTGCAGAAAACAGGTGGGAAAGGTGGTGGCCCGCCAGGCACTTAGTGGCATCTGCCTTCTCCAGGGGGGTCAGGTGGGAGCTGGAAGCTGCTCACAATTGACCAGGACCTCATGGTGGCACAGTTCTCCACACCCAGCCTACCTCCCAGCCTGGTAAGTATTGGAAAGTCCTAGGCCAGGAGGTAGGGGTTCTAGGCTTCTAGGCAGGCAGAGCTCCCCAGGTCAGGGAACTGGCCCCAGAGTCTGACTGTAGCTGATCAGTATATTGAGAGGCCAAGACACAGGCCCGGCCCAGCATAGTCCATGAGGGTCTGGCACTCATCAGAATGCTATTGAGCTAGGGTCTGCTCTGTACAGAACAGGGTAGCTGGGGAAGTTCCTAGTCCTCTAGTATTACAGAGCACAGGGAGACAGCAGAACCTATGAACTGAGGAGGGAGGGGTGTGTGTGTGTGTTCAAGTTCATATGTGACTATGAGTACCTTGGTATATAACAGCTCAAAACAGGAAGCCTCTGGAGGTGGGTAGAGGGCCCATCATAGTGAGAGCTGCCTACCTCCCACTCTGGGCAGAAGTAGAAGGGCAGGTAGAAAGCCAGGCCACCTGTGACACCTTCCTTCCCCTTGGCAGAAAGTTGGGTTCCTGCCTCCTGTAGGGAAGGAGCAGTCTGTGTTGTGGGTATCCCTGGAGGAGGCTGAGCCCATTCCTGACATCCACTGGGGCATCTGGGTACTACAGCCGCCCCCAGAGCAAGAGAATGTGCAGTATGGTGAGCGGGGCCGGGCAGAGGGACACCTCCAAGTTCCCCAGCATGCAGCATCTGCAGTGACTTTTCCTGCCTCCTGTCTCTCACACCGTGGGGTTTCCATCTTGTGGATGGTCATGGGGAGTAGCATCCAGGCATGAGTGCCTGCTCTGGGTATCAGAACTGGGCACCATTAGGCCAAATCTTCTATGGTGGAAAGACCAAGACCCAAAGAAAATAGGCCTTATACAAGGCCCTGGTGACCATACCTCATCCAGAATGTTGTCCCTGCAAAGTATAGCTCCCTGACTGGGGCAGAAAGAGCATGAGCCTCTAGGGTCCATGTGTCGTGGTGTGGGCTGCCTTGGCCAGGTCTCTTTTCCTGAGGTCAGCCCCAGACCTGCAGCTATAGATGAGGCTTTGGCTGGGGGAGCCCCTGGTAGTAGCACTGGCCCTGCTGACCACTGCCCTCTCCCTCCAGCTGGCCTTGACTTTGAAGCAATTCTTATGCAGCCCAGCAACCCTCCAGATAAGACCCAGGTGCCCATGGTGGTCATGCCCCATGGTAGGTATCTGCCCTTATCTTCCCACCCTCACTCCTAGCTGGCCCTTCACCTTGTGTTCTCTGGTTGCAGGAGGACCCCATTCATCCTTTGTCACTGCCTGGATGCTGTTCCCTGCCATGCTTTGCAAGATGGGCTTTGCGGTACTACTAGGTGAGTAAGCCAGGGACCTGTAGCTGTTAGGGCTGTGGTGAAATGAGGGGGTGGGCTTGGTTTGTACAAACACCATGGGTATCACTGTGATCACTGGCTATTCTGTAGCCAGACCTAGTAACCACTTCCAGGAACAGCTATGGTCCAGCCTTTGCTCCATGGCATGGTGATAATAGATTATCTTGGAACTTCCATGGAAAGTGTGCTTTGGTCACTAGGCAACCTCAAATCTCTTGGCCCCTTTCCTTGACAGTCTATGGTGCAGTTGGTCATAGGGTCCGCTTCAGAGATGTGTGAAAGGATATTCAGGGGGCTATGAATGTTGCCTGAATATCTATCTGGTCCCTTCCTTCCTTCAGTGAACTATCGTGGCTCCACAGGCTTTGGCCAGGACAGCATCCTCTCCCTCCCAGGCAATGTAGGCCACCAGGATGTGAAAGACGTCCAGGTAGCAGGGGGCTAGGGCTTCTGGACAGAATAGAGGGTGGGCTGTCAGGGCTGTGGCTCCATTCAGCTGGGCAAGCAGCTGGCTGCAGCATGTTCTGCCCCATCCTATAGTTAGCAGTGGAGCGGGTGCTCAAGAAGGAGCACTTTGATGCAAGCCGCGTGGCACTTATGGGTGGTTCCCATGGTGGCTTCCTCTCCTGCCATCTGATTGGTCAGTATCCAGAGACTTACAGTGCCTGCGTAGCCCGGAACCCCGTGATCAACATCGCCACCATGTTGGGCTCCACTGACATCCCTGACTGGTGAGTGTGCACCACAGGTGCCTGCCCTTCTCCCCTCCACCCCATATTCCCTTGGAGCTCCTGCAGGCCCCAGAATGCCTGCGGCTGCATCAGCTTGGTCTTTTGCAGGTGTGTGGTGGAGGCTGGCTTCCCTTACAGCAGTGACTACCTGCCAGACCTCAGTGTGTGGGCTGAGATGCTGGATAAGTCACCCATCAAATACATCCCTCAGGTAAGCAGCTCTCCTCCTTGCCCTGTGTGCCACTCATCTGTCCAGAACCAGGGACCAGCTCACCATGGCTCCACACCCCTCTGCATACACCCAGGTGAAGACACCACTGTTACTGATGTTGGGCCAGGAGGACCGGCGTGTGCCCTTCAAGCAGGGCATGGAGTATTACCGTGCCCTCAAGGCTCGAAACGTGCCTATTCGGTGAGTGTATCAGGATGGCCCTGGCAGCTGGTGGGCAGGTGAGCAGGGGAGGACCCTTCAACCTTAAACGTTGCTGCCCAATCCCTACAGCCTCCTGCTCTATCCCAAAAGCACCCACGCACTATCAGAGGTGGAAGTGGAGTCAGACAGCTTCATGAACACTGTGCTCTGGCTACGCACGCACTTGGGCAACTGAAGCCCTGCCATCCTGTGTGGGCTGATCAGCCCATACCACACTTCGCTCTTGGGGAGCTCCAGGGTCTGGCAGAACAGCGAGAGGCTTTCTGGGATCTGGACTTCATGAGTGGGTGGGCAGAGAAATGTGGGCTATATAGTTATAATAAATTAGGACACAGAACCTGGTTCCTGCTGGTACTTTGTACCAAGCCATCCCTAACCCCAGCTCCCACCCTGGGGTTCAGAGACCCTAGGTCCTGAGTATGATAGCCACAAGGGTTTCATTGTGTCCAGCATGAGACGGGAGAGACTCAGCCACTGCCTATGCTGGCACCTGGGACTCTACACCAAGCTGGCTCTCTCTGCTGCAGTCCCTTCTATTAGAAACTGCCCTGAACCACCCTTCCCCTCCCAAGCATATGTCTCGGAAACTAGTATGGTCCTGCCCTTCCCCAATACCCACAGGCAAAGGCAGTTCCAGGTCAGAATACCCAAACCAGGGTGTTCTGTGTTCATTCCACCCAGGCCATAGCAAGGAGTTGCCAACTCACTTCCTGAAAGCAGAGGCTAAGAAGCACTCTGCACAGATGTAAAGAGGAAAAATGGCTTTATGTCTGATAGGAAGTTTCATCCTCCCCAAGGCAAATGGGGTCAAAGCCATGCCTAACCCAGTCTCATGACCTTGTGAATCCAGTCCACAAACACAGAGACACGCATGAAGATAGCTGGCCAGCGGGGCCTTGCACACACTCGGTTGGGGATTATAATTCCCTCCAGGACCCAGCAGTCATGGGTAAAGCAGGCAAGCGGGCCCCCGTAGTCACCCTGGCAGGTGGAAGAACTGATGAGGACCCTGGGCCACAGCAATGACTAGTCCCCTCCGTGATGTAGTAGTACATTTCCAGCCCCCATACCCTCCCTGGGCTGGCGCAAGGGCCCTGCCACTGACCTCACAGGCCCCCACCGGGGCCAAGAGTCCCTCAGTACACATCTCACTCTCCCGTACACGTCCTCGGTGCTTGACATTACACTTCTGGTTGGAGATGACGTTCAGCGAGGCCACATTTAGGACTGTGTCATTACCTGTACCTACAGTGAAGGGGATGGAGAGAAGGAACAGGCCCTGGAACAGGATCCAGGACTGGGCCTCCTGTCCTGGAGCAGTCCATGCCCATGCACTGTGCTCTTACCTTTGGTCTCACCCCAGCCTGCGATCTCACACTTGGTCCCTGGAGGTACCACATACCGCTTAGGGGGTAGGCAGATCAGGGCCACTCGCTGATTCAGGATCACAGCTCTTTAGCAGGAATTAGAGTACTCAGGGCCCAGGGTCACAATGTCTAGCCCACCTCACATCCTCTCTGCTTGTTCACATACCTTTCCAGCTTGAGCAGGACAAGCTGGGAGTCTGAGGGCCCACATACCATCTTGGCCACTGGGACCCGCTGTAGGCCTGGCTCTCCAGGTTGTGGGTTCTGGAAGAGGGTGCCCAACCACACCTCATAGCCCGTGAGAGGTATGTGGCTGGAAGAGAAGCTCTGCTAGATCATCCATGACTCCCACTCTGCTGCCCCAAGGCTCATTTGTTGGCTTGCCTCGGGGAGATGGCTGGAGGAAGGTTGAAAGCAAGGACTGGGTCAAACAAGGGAGGCTCACCAGGAGGAGAAGCATTGTCGGGCAGTCAGTACCCATTGTTCCTTCACTAGGGACGCCCCGCAGAAGTGTTGGCCCTGCCTGGAGCAGTAAGGATTAAGAGAGGGAACAGTGAGTCCTGGGACATATGCTGGACCTGCCATCTTCTGGCTAGGACCTCTGGGGCCATAGACAGATTCCCACTCCCCCTAGTCTCCCACCCCTACATAGTCACAAAGGACATATCCTCAGCTCCTCTAGGGGAGACAAACAGTTGTGCCTCACCGGTTGCGGAGACTGACTGTCCAGGGTGAGTTGCTGGGCTGGCCTCCCACCACACGCAGCATGGAGCGATGCTGGTCCAGCAGATCCACTCTCTTGCCACACTTCTCAAACAGTACCTGGTCTAGGGAATGGGGCAGGCCAAATGAAACCCCGACTTGATGGAGGTGGGGGGCAAAAGGGCCCCATTTCACAAATGGCCCAAGTTCAAACCTGGGGGGTCCAGGATGGATGGAGGCTGGTCACCATCTGAAAGACCAAGTTACTTGGGTTAAGGGAGCCAGCCTTTGACGGTAGGGGCTGAAGCGAGATCATGGGGGAGTGTCACCAGCGCTCACCACAGCGTCGCAGGGCGCAATAGTCGAATGGGGTCCCTGGGTCTGTAGTGTAGCACCAGGGCCCATGGCTATCCCTGTCCGGGTTCCGGCAGAAGTTCTCCTCCAGTTGGGCGTGCGGGACCGAGGTGGGTGTGAACCTAGGCGGGAGGGGGAACAAAATCAAAGGAGGTCAGGCTCTGGTGGGAGACGCCAAAGCATGCCGCCCGAAGCGGGGGTTGGGTAGCAGGCGCGCCAAGGGACTCACTGCGGCTTGTGCGGAGCCTCTGCGGACCAGCGCTGGCACTGGACGCCCTTGCGAGTTTTGCTGACCGTGCCACGGTACCGCTCCCCCGTGCCATGGTAGCAGTCTGCGGCGAGCAAGGGTGGCTGTCAGCCCCAGTCCTCGCCTCGGCCCTCCGGTTCCGCGCCTCCAGCCCCGGATCTTTTGCCCCATGCTCGACCCTCACCCTCGGGCCGCACATCGTCTGCGCAACGCCGGATCTGGTAGCAGAAGGCCACGCGCATGCCGGGCCGCGATGTGAAGCACCAGGGCGCCTCCGAGCCGTCGGGGTTTCGGCAGAAGTTCTCCCGAAGGTCCCTGAGCGGGCGCTCCACTCAGTCCTAGTGGGTTCCACCTAGCCCGCCTCCGATGTGGCCAGAAATCCAGCTCCGCCCCAAGCCCCGTCTTCCTTCAGTCCATCGCTGGGACTACCCTCCTCCAGTCCCACCCGCAGGTGTACGTCCCCAGCGCCTACCCACCACCTTACTTGCACGCGTATTTCTCGGGCGCAAAGCGATGCTGATGTGGGCTCTGTGCGTCCCAACGCTGGCAGGGTACGCCCGCGGCGGTGGTATTGGCTGTGCCACGGTAGCCCTCGCCCTTCCCGCGGAAGCAGCTGACAGTCGTGGCCTCTTGGCGGGGCTGTGTCTCGGACCCTAGGATGGTCCGGGGCAGGTCAGGCCCTGAGCTGGAGCTGAGATCCCACTGGGGTAGAGATTAGGCCAGCCTTTCGCAGGTTTACGGTACTCCGCCGGATGAGCTCTCCGCCCACTGCCAGGTCACGCCCTATCCCACGAGCCTCTCCAGCCAAGCCACACGCCCCTCCCCCGCGTTTCCAGGGTGCCCTCTTAGGCCTTGTCCCCGCGGCCTACCGCAGCGGGGAAGGTCGCAGAACTCTCGCTCGAGTTGCGGGTCCGTGGTGTAGCACCAGGGTCGCTCGGAGCCATCAGGATTCCGGCAATAGTTGTCGTCCAGACCTTTGTCGAGGAACCTGAAAGCGGTAACGAGATGTGAACAAGGCCCTGGGACTCAGGCACGTCTAGCCCCGCCCAGTTGCTTACGTAAGCCCCGCCCCTGGAGTCCTGGACCCTCCCCCGCACCCCCCTTCCCCCGCTAGCCCTACTCCAGGGCGCCGATCCAGCCTGCTCGTACATGCCGGGCTCGAAGGGGTGCTGGTGCGGGCGCTGCAGGTCCCAGCGCTGGCACTCGCGTCCAGACTCAGTGCGGTCTACCGCGCCCCGGTAATCTTCGCCATTGCACCAGACACAAGCCGCTGGAGACAAAGGGCCAGTGCGTTCGTGGACGGGCCTAGGCCTGTCCCTCCCTCCCAGGGAGCCGGCGCCCCGTACCTTCTCTGCAGGACTTAATGCCGCAGCTCTGGAAGCGCACGGCGTGGTCTGTCGTGTAGCACCAAGGACCTCTGGGGTCCGCGTCAGGGTTTCGGCAGAAGTTCTCTTCCAGGCCATTCCGGAGCGTGGGAGTGTACCTGAGGCAGAGAGCGTCTCTATAGTGTGTGCTGGTGGAGGGCTCCGGGCAGCAACGGAGGGGAGGTATCAGTCTCACTTGTGGTCATTGGGAAACCTGTGGCTCCAACTCTGGCAGGGCAGGCCACTCGCGGTCGTGGCTACCGTGCCCCGATACCCGACCCCATTGTCCGTGATGCAGGTCCGAACATAGTCTGAGAGCAAGAGAAAGATCAACGCAGGCTGAAGTCCCAGGTCTCCTATTCCCTACCCTGTCTCTTTCCGCAGCCACTCACCTTTCTTCTGGAAGAGGTCACAGCGCCCAGAACGCTGCAGCCGAGTGTGGGGCGAGTGCTGTGTCCATGGCAGCAGTTGGCAACCATGGCTGCTCACGTTGTAGTGGAAGGCTCTGAGGAGTAGAAGAGACAGGGTAACCCCACAGCCCAGGTTCCCAAATCCCCATCTTACTTAGGCCTGGTGGCCACTCACCGGCAGTCCAGTAAAGGCCCACAGCGACCAGCACACTCCTCAGCATCTGCCACATCCTCCTGCCAAGGCCCAGGCACTACTGCATGTAGTTGATGCTGTAGCTCTGTGCCCCGGAGCACTTGGAAGTCGTTCAATGGCGAGCGCTGCCCTGCAGAGTGGGCACAGGGCAGGTGGGCATGCATGTCAGTACACATATATTGTTATGTCTACTCTTTGTTCATTCAGGGCATCAAACTACAAGGCCTTTGGAATGGGCCCTGTGTGCAGTTTCAAGGCACAGTCCAATCCCACTACATAGTTACTTGAAAAAAAATTTCCAAACCAGGGGCGGTGGCTCACGCCTGTAATCCCAGCACTTTGGGATGCAGAGACGAGAGGAATGCCTGAGCTCAGGGATTTGAGCTCAGGTTTGAGACCAGCCTGGGCAACATGGCAAGACCTCATCTCTACAATAAATCAAAAAATTAGCTGAGCATGGTGTTGCACGCCTGTGGTTCCAGCTACTTGGAAGGCTAAGGCGGAAGGATCACCTAAGCCCAGCAGGTCAAGACTGTGGTGGCTGTGAGTGTGCCACTGTGACAGAGTGAGACTCCAACTAAAAAAAAACAAAAAGAAAGAAAACTTCTCTGGGGAAGCAGGCTCAGGCAAGGTGGTTATCACAAATGCCTCTGTTTAGTGGAACAGGCACTGGGCTCAGCTCGAACACACTCCATGACAGCAGTGGGGGATGGTGCTTGCCACATGGAGAACTTGCCTCATTTCATCTCTCAAATGAGAATACTAAGGCTCAGAGCCACCCACTACCCAGACAGGGACCCGGCCTAGGCATTGACTCCAAGTCTGAGCTCTCGCTTGCACAAAAGCATATACTAGGTTTGAGAGGTAGATCAGGTTCAGGAGGGGTCACTGCCTGCTGTGTGTATGCATCAGTGTGGTCCCAACACTGCTTCAGGGCTACATAGACACATACTAATGGAGCCTAAGTGGGCAATGTGAATAAGTATTCCCAGGGCTTTCCAGCTCTGCTCAGGAGGTCAAGGTCACTGTGGCATGCCTGCCAGGACAGTGAGCTCCTGGATCTCTCATTTTGCTTCCATCCTAGAATAGTAGGATGGGACCAACCCCCTCCTGAAGGCAGATGGAAATCAGGGCAGGAGACACTCACCAGGGACCCCTGAGCACTGCATCATAAGCAGCAGGAGTGGGAGCCACCCCATCTTCCTGGCTGGAGACTGCACTGTGACCCACCACAGCCCTATCCGGGAAGTTATGAAATCTGTCCCAACGGGATTGGGTGGCTCTGGCTGCACACCTCCCCTCCCGGCTTTCTGACCTGAGACCCGGTGGCAAGAGCTGTGTGAGGCCAGGCCTCAGACCCAGTAGGTCAGGTGCAAGGGCTCTTACTTTGGTACAGCTAGAGAGGGGCCTCCCTACTTAGTGAGCAGGTGCTAGCAGGGGTCCTTGAGGTGACCTGGGGTGCCTCTGCAGCCTAATTTGCCCACTGGCATTGTGAAAGTGGGAGCTGCCTGAATCCTAGATTCCAGGTCTTGGGTGGTAACATTAAAATTTTCTGAGCTTCGGTTTCCCCCTGTGAATTGGGGAACACCATCTGCCCCAGCTCCAACACTGCACCCCCCTTCCTTGCTGCCTTATCGGGGTCCCCAGCTGTGTCAACAAATCAGCCCAGCCTCGGCAGCAGAGCCAGAAGTGACATCTCAGGGAAGGTGAGTGAAGCTGCCCGTTGGGCCTAAATAGGTGTGGGGTGACAGGTAGTGGGGACCCTGGCAGGCGCAGCCTTTCAGACATCCTAGGGGACATCTGGGCTGGGCATCCAAGTATGGGTAGGAGTTGACACAGGTGGTCTAGGGATCCCAGCTAGCACATCGCATTCCGCCGCGGCTGGGTTCAGGAGTCCCTAGGGCAGGCGGAGATGGACTCAGTTGGGCCTTCTGGAAAAGCTGAGCCCGGGAACAACCTGGCCGGTGGCCGCGAAGGGGGTCCACTAGCCGAGGCTAGGCGCGGGGTAGTGCGCCTGCGCGGCTGGAAGCGCGGCGCGCGAGCGGGCACGCGATTTGGCCCTGGACAGACGCCGTAGCCGAGAGGCTGGGCGGATGTTGTGAGCCGGGTCGCTGCGGCCGAGGCCGGGGGTGAGTGAGGGGCGACCGGGCTCTGAGCGGGGCGTGTCCTTGCGGCTCGACTCGCGGCCCCTGCCGGTACCGTGTGAAAGCGCCTGAGGCTGGGATCGTGGCCTGTGGTGCGAGACTCCAAGCGGGAGCTGGCCTGGCAGGTCCTCTGGAGCCTGGGGCCAGGAGGGGGCGACTTGGGGGAGCCATGCCCTGCCCTCGGCGTCCTTGGACTCACAAACGAGCAGGTTCGGTTCCGAACCCAAATCCCTCGGCGAAGCTGTACAGTATTGCCATGACAGAGAGTCCCGGGCAGGGGCAGTGTCTGGGTCCACCTCTCACCTGGGTTCTCAGCACCTGACACCCGAAGTGGGTGTCCAGAAGGACTGCTGATCAAAGGGATGACTGCGTCTAATCAGTGCAGCTGCTCTGGTGTGAGGGGGGCACGGATCATGGACGCCCACTAAGGGCCCGAGGTGGGTGGCAGGGCGGGAGAACCACCTTCCTTAGGGACAGGCGTGGTGCGGATGGGCAAGGGTTTGTGGTGGGAGTGGAGAACCTGTTTGGGACGATAAGCGATTGGGCTGTAGAGAAGGGAGTGCTGGCTAAGGCAGTGGCGGAGAGCCAAGGTCTAGACCAGAATGTCTAATAGAACTTTCTGTGATGATGAAATGTTCTACATCTGTGTTGCCCAGTACAGTAACCACTAACCACATGTGGCCACTGAACCCTTGAAATGTGGCTAAAGTAATTGAGAAATCGAATTGTTAATTTTTTAAAACTTCAAGTGAAATTTAAGTAACCTCATGTGGATGGTGGCCACTGTGTTAGAGAGTGCAGCTACAGGTCACAGAGGCCATTACCAGGGACTTGGTGCAGGTTCTGTAGCAGGTGTAACAACAAAATATGTGAGGGTTAAAGAGCAGTAGGAAGACCAATGGAGTCTTCAATGAGGGGTGGGAAAGAGTGATGCTTGGATGGAGTGGGAGGCTGTGTGTGTGAGTGGGAACAAGAAAACTAGCAGGACTGTAAACAGGAGAAGGGAGGAACCTGGGGCTGAGGAAAGAGGTCCCAGCCTCTGGGGAGTAAGTGGGACTTGTGGCTGGAGATGGCCAGACCAGTGGTGGTCTGCCCTTGGGGGAATGTGTATAGGGTTCTCATTTCTGGATATGAGCTGGACCCAATATGGCTTACAACTGAGATGGATACAGAGGCTCTGCCCCTAGGCCAACTCACTTTGGACATTTTGGTCTGATTTCCCCAGAGCTAAGACATTTAGTTATGGTTCAGCAAACATGTATCTGCTGCATCCTCTGCTGGGCCATGTGCTGGGCACTGGGACACAGTGGAGAACAAGAAGTGGTCCCTGTCACATGGGCCTAGACCCCACCTACGCTCCCTGTGTAGGAATCTGGAAGTCCCTACTTTCCCCTGCTCTGCTTTGTGAGTATGCATGACCCTGGCCTCACCTGTTTCCAAGCCTTTCTGCCACTGTAGGACTGAGGTCAGTTATAGGGGACTTTGGCTGGCCTCAAGTAGACAGACTCTGTGTCTGGCTTAGCCTCCAGGATTACTGACTGCCCATGAGAGATGAAGGATGGCGTCCAAGGGGACTGGCATGTCTTTCTCCCGCAAGAGCTATAGGCTTACCTCAGATGCTGAGAAATCCAGGGTCACAGGTAAGATCTGGTAGGGCAGGGAGGAGGCTCCTTATGTTGGGAGGAGAAGGAAGGGACAAAAACAGCAAAGTCCCATGTCCAGTGAGCCTCAGGCCTTGCTGCACCTGTGACTGGCCTAGGACCAGCAGTCTCAGGGGCCAGGAGCCTCAATGATCACGTGATTCTTTTCTCCCTTCTGACCTGTGGCTCAGGCATTGTGCATGAAAAGCTGCTGAATGACTACCTGCACCGCATCTTTTCCTCTTCTGACCATGCACCCTCTGCAGCCACCAGCAGGTACGGTTGGGTAGGTCGCCACCCCTCACTCTCCTGGGCCAGACCAAAGACCTGAGGCTGCAGCTGTAGGAAAAGGGAGCCTAGGCTCTAGGCAGACTAGCTTAGGTTCTGTTCTCACTCTGCCCCTGGCTATGAGAACTCTGGCCAGAGAGTCTATCTTCTGGACTCTGCTTCTTCCTCTCTCCAGGCAGGGCTAGTTCCTTCTAGAAGTATTATAGAGGTCAGAGAGCAAGTGCATGTTCAGTGCCCAGCTAGCACCTGGCACCTACTCCACACTTAGCTTCTGGCCACACCTTGGTCCCATCCCAGTCCCTTGTAGTCTCTTCCTGACCTTGTAAAGTACAAACCCCACCAAGCCCTTTTCAGTTTTATGCTTTTAAGTTTAGTTTATATAAACATTACAAGTACACTTAAGTAGAAACTTAGAGATAGAAGGAAAAATACCTGTCATCTTGTTATTCTATCACATGACCATTTGATGTGATTCTTCTCTGTGTTCTTTATCTCGCAATGTATGTAGTTCGGATTATGCTGTATAGAAAACTTTTTAAAAAATGTGTCACCTTTAGTTTTCTTTAAAAATTGTTATTGAGCTATAATTGACATATAATAAACTGCACATACTTAAAATGTATAATTTGGTAAGTTTTAATGTACATATAACCTGTGAAACCACTGTTGTCATCAGGGTAATGAATATATTACTTCCAAAAGTTTATAGAAGTTGGAATCCTGTTTTTATCATCAAGCATTATTCCTTGAGTACTTTTGTACTTTACAAATGATCTTAGTGGGCACCTTTAGGGTCAGGGGTCTGCTGTGGCCCATATAACTGCCCTAGTTTTCAGGGACTTTTACTTTTGTAAACAATGCTGTGAGGATGCCCAGGGTTGGAGTCATGTAGCTAGAGTGTTTGAACTGTGATCACTTTTTTTTTTTTTTTTTTTTGAGTTGGAGTCTCACTCTGTCACCCAGACTGGAGTGCAGTGGCTGCTCCCGGCCACCGCAGCCTCGACCTGCTGGGCTCTGGCGATCCTTCCGCCTCAGCCTTCCAAGTAGCTGGAACTACAGGCGCGTGCTACCACGCCCAGCTAATTTTGATTTGTTGTAGAGATGAGGTCTCGTCAAGTTGCCCAGGCGGGTCTCGAACTCGCGGTCTCAGGCAATCCACTCACCTCGGCCTCCCAAAGTGCTGGGATTACAGGCTGAGCCACCGAGCCCGGCCTGCTGTGATCACTTTTAAGACTGTTGCCAGATTACTTTTTCAAGGGATCAGGTAGGTTCTCCCTCCCTACAGTGAGGTCCGGTGTCCCTGTCTCTCACCCCCTCACCAACCTCAGCTCTCCTATCCTTCACAATCTCTGCTCTTTGGGCAAACCCAAAAGGCAGCATCATTGCCTGTTCTATTTAAGCAGCTGTGGTGGTCAGAAAGTTCCTACTTACAGAGGGCTACTGTCCACCCCCACCCCATCCCAGTCCTGGCCTGTTCTCAGGGCCATCTGATCCTTACCTCATGTGATACCAGAGATGGTCTTGCTGCTGCTGGTTCTGTGGCTGCCAGGAAGGAGAGCAGGTGGTGGGGCCATCAGTCAGTGGTTGTGGGGATGCAAGGCTTTGGACTGGGACCAAGGAGATCCAAAGTAGGCAGACAAGTACTGGGCTGGGCCACGTGGGAAGTGCTGCAGGCACTCAGTGGAGGCTGTCTCAGGCCAGTTTCCCTCAGCTACATGCAGTCTGCTCTTGGGATCAGGCACAAGCTTGCTTTTGGGAGCAGACACAAGAGTAGCATTCCTGAATGTGGTCCTGCAAGAACTGCTTTTGAGGAACCCTCCTTTAATCCTTGGACCCATTGGAATATTCAGAGATGGAGTTAACTTGGGCTTTCCATGCTACTGGCTGGGCAACCCACTGCATAACTACCACTTGGCCTTGGCCTGGGACTCAGCAGGGGTAGGATGGGACCTTTGTGCATCTCTACATTCTGCAGTTCAGGGCCAGTAGTGGCTTATAGCGAGGGAATATGTAGTCCATGAGCCTGGGTCTTAACTACCCAGGTTCCTGAGCCTGGGCTGGAGAGTTCGTGCTTTGGTCCATCTATGTCCCCTTCCAGAGCCTACTGTCTAGGTGGATGAGTAGGGTAGGAACTGGGATTAAAGGTGGAAGAGCAGGTGCTGGCAGTCCATTGACTGGAACCAGATGGGCATCAGGCCTCAGTTCTGCCAAATCCTGCTGGTTACCACCACCCCACTCCTTGCTATTCTTAGCAGCT